GACACGGTGGCTGCGATGATGGGCTCAAGTATAGCAGGGATTGTGGGGCTGGCGCGGGATCGGGCAGTGTTTCGTTCTGCTGTGCATGGGCTCGCTATGAGTCAGAAACAACTCGACAGCACTTAACAACAACAACAACATGCCTGTGGAGCTCTGCTGGTGTAGTGCCTGAAGCATTATTTGACTGTTAACCAGAAGGTCAGAGGTTCAAACCCACCAGCCACTCCTTGGAAGGAAGACTGGACAGTCTACTTCCATAGAGATACCTCCTTGGAAACCTAAGGAAGGATCACTATTTTTTGGAACCAATTCGACAGCAGTGAGTTTTATTTTGGTTTATACCTGTGGCATTCTGGTGGCCTAATGCCTAAGGCTTTCAACTGTTAACCAGAAGGTTGGCTGTTCAAACCCACTAGCCACTCCACAGAAGGAAGACCGGGCAATCTACTTCTGTAAAGATTTACTGCTTTGGAAACCCAGTAGGGATCGCTATGAGTCAGAATTGACTTGATGGCAGTGGTTTTTTGTATCGTTCTGTTGCTATGAATCAGAGCCAACTCGATGGCACCTAACAACGACAATATACCTGTGGATACTGAGCCCCAGTGGCAGTGGTTAAGAACTCAGCTGCTATTCAAAAGGTCAGCAATTTAAATCTACCAGCCTCTCCATGGAGAAAGATGTGGCATTCTGCTCCTGTAAAGATTATGGCCTATTTCCAACTATGAGGCTATTCTACCTTGCGCTATAGGTTCGTTATGAGTTAGAATCAACTCTGTGGCAATGGGTAATAACCTGTAGATGTAATCCCCTTTGGGAATAGAGTATTCTTTGTTGTGTTAATACCATCTCAGCATAGAGTGTATTCTCAAACTAATCACTCCTGAGTTATAGGGAACAGCACAGACACAGAGACAGGCAAGCACAAATGGACAGCAACAAGATGCCACATGAGTATCGCTAAGGAACCAAGGAATGCCTGGGCTACAGAAGCTGAGGGAGACAAGGATCTTCCCCATGAGCCAATGCTCTGAATTTGGATTTCTAGCCTCCTGTGAGAAAATAAGGAGCTCTGGTAGTGAGTGGTTAAGGCATTCATCTGCTAACCAAAAGGTCAGCAGTTGGAACCCACCTGCTGCTCGCAGGAGAAAATGAGGTAGTCTGCTTCTGTAAAGGTTTGCAGCCCTGGAAACCCTATGGGGCAGTTCTACTCTGTCCTACAGGATTGCTATGAGTCAGAATTGACTCAAATGGCAGTGGGTTTTTGATGAGAAAATAAATGTCTGTCCTTAATGCCACTCATTTATGGTAAGAATAGGTAACTAAGACAGCATACTTTATTAATTTTCTTTCAATTCCTTCCAATTTAAAAAAAGCAAAAATTAACCTCGGCGTTTTTGGCTCCTCAAGGTAGGGTTTTACTCCCTGCACGATATTGATAGGTAGAATATTCATTAGGCCCATCCTCCTTCATTCATTCACTAAATATTTACTGAGCACTTACTATTTGCCAAACATTATTCTGGTAAAGCAGCCTTGGTGATGCAATGGTTAAGCACTTGGCTGCTAACCAAAAGGTCAGTGGTTTGAAATCTCTGAGCAGCTTCATGGGAGAAAAGATCTGGTAATCTGCTCCCATAAACATTACAGGGTAGGAAACTCTGGGGGGGATTCTACTCTGTCTTACAGGGTCACTATGAGTCAAAATCAACTCCACAGCACACAACAACAACATTCTGGGCAATAAAACAAACAGCAATGAGCAAAAAAGACAAGATACTCACGTGGAGCTTATGTTCTAGTAGAAGGCTTGAGACAGTAAATAAATAACAAGAGTATAGCAGACAAAGCAGGGTAAGGAATAAGGTGGGGAAGAGAGGAACAACTTTAGATGGGGTAGCCAAGGACAAATTCTTTGAGAAGTGTAATTTGAGGTGACCTTAATAACAAGAAACCAGTCATGTAAAGATATGGGGGGAAAGCATCCCAAGCAGAAGGAAAAACAGATGCAAAAGCCTTGAAGGAAAAAATAAAGAATAAAAATTAAGGCAGAAAGTGGTAGGAGATGAAGTCATTAAGGTACAGATGAGGAAGAACCCTGAGATCTATGGGAAGGAATTTGGATTTTGTTTAAAATTCAATAGAAGCCACCGGAGGGTTTTAAGCTGGGGATTTAGGGTTTCCACTCTGGCTGCCATGTGGAGAGCAGATTGTAGAGGAGAAAGTCTGGAAGCATGGAGATCTGTCCAAGGGGGAGAAAACAGGCTCCAAAGTAGGATTTTGCCTCTTATCTGGCCCTTGGAGAAAATTCCATCAGGTGATACAATCTCTGCCTGCTGTTACTTTGCACCCTGGAGTAGTAACCTTATAGGACAGAGTAGAACTGTCCCATAGGGTTTCCTAGGCTGTAATCTTTATGGAGCAGATAGCCAGGTCTTTTCTCTCCCAGATCCCCTCAATAGTTTCAAACTGCTGACCATTCAGTTAGTAGCCAAGCACTTAACAATTGTGCCATAGGGCTCCTTAATTTGTGTCTTAAAAAAACCCAAACTCACTGCCTTCGAGTTGATTTGACTCATTGTCGATCCCACTCATAGCGGCCCCTCCTTGGGTTTCCGAGGTGGTATCTCTACAGAAGTAGATTGCCCAATCTTCCTTCTGAGGAGTGCCTGGTGGGTTTGAATTGCCAGTGTTCTGGTTAGCAGTCAAATGCCTTAGGCACTACACCACCAGAGCTCCCAATTTGTGCCTAATATTGTGAGAATCCAATAGAATTTTGAAAGATTTTAAAAAGCAATGTCAGCAAGAATTTTAAGAAGGCAGTGTCAGTCCATAAACACAGAACATGTTTTCAAGTAACAACACATGCCATACTCACAGTTTCCAGAGTCACAGAGCTATTTTTTTCCAAGGATTTAAAATGTAATAAACAAGATGCTTTCAAGAAAACTTTGAGCAGACAATTTTTAGCTTTTATCACAAATTTGGCAATGTTTCTCCATTTTTAACATAAAAGGTTGTTTATTTAAAAAAAAAAAGTTTCAGTATATCCTTAAAATCAAATCTCTATTACTGAAGGATTTGGCAAAATTAGCACATTTCTTCTCCATTTGCCTTTTTATTCTGTCTTCTCCTTCTCTTCAGGAGTCATCATGTAATGCTACGTTGTATTTTACATTATTTTTAATTTACTCTTTTTTTTTTTTTTAACATGGGAGCTCTGATGGCATAGTGCCTAAGGTATTTGACTGCTAATCAGAAGGCTTGAGGTTCAAATCCACCAGCCACTCCTCAGAAGGAAGACTAGGCAATCTACTTCCATAGAGATACTGCCTCAGAAACCCAAGAAGGGGTTGCTATGAGTCACAGTTGACATGATGACGGTGAGATTTTGTGTTTTATTTTTTAACATAAAATCTGGTGAGTGGAACATATTATAAACAGAACAAGTAAGAGAGAAAGAAGGGCTGCTCAGGCACAGGGAGACAGCTCAAGGGGTAGGAGTGCATGGAGGGATTGTCACAGGGAAGTGGTACCTATCAGGAGGAAGTGGGAGAGGAGATGTTGCATTGTGCTAAACAGTGGTCAATGTCAAGAGACAAAGTGTATGTGATCTGCTGTATGGAAAGTGTATTTGCTCTGTAAATTTTCATCCAAATCACAATAAAAATAAAAATTAGAAAAAAATGTTATTTTTTAACATAAAATCTAGTGAGTGCGCTCTGGAGAGAACAATCATGGGAGAAAGAAGGGCTGCTTATGCCCAGGGAGACAACTCAGGGTGCAGGAGAGTATGGAGGGATGGACACTGGGAAGAAGTAACTATGGGGAGGGAATGGGAGGGGAGCTGTTGCATTGTGGTAAATTGTGGTCAATGACACGAGACAAAGTATATGTGAACTGCTGTATGAAAAGTGAATTTGCTCTGTAAATCTTCACCCAAATCAAAATAAAATTAAAAAAAAAAAAATCTAGTGAGTGGAACCCCTTTGATCAAATAATGAAATTAAGTCTCTTCCTTTCAGTTGGTGGTCCTTGTTTGATGAAGGTTTTCTCCCCAAGGCCCTATTGTGCAGTAGCCTCCCACACACAGGAACTGGTGAATGAGACCTTCAAGATAGCCTTAAGATGAGAGCTGAGTTAGTTCTAAGACTGAAGTTGGCATTAATTTGATCCTTCTTCCTCTACATGATTTGAGCCTGTCCATGGAGAGGCAGCAAAATAACTTAAGTCAGCTCTCAATTTGCCTGTTCTCCCTACTCTTTCCTTACCCTTAGCCCTTCCAAAAAGTTAAGTGATCCAGGAAGCAGGATGGTTTTTCTCACTAAAGCACTGACTTTTACTTGGTTTTCTCCTGCCTTTCACAAAGGTCATCCCCATCTTAAGGGAAATGGCAAGAAGGAGTACCCAGGACTTGGAGGAAATACTCACTAATTGACAATGTCTTGAATTTGAGACTGGTCCCATTGTTTCCCCCAGCAATGGTGCTGGCCATGACCAAAACATTGTAAGCAGTATTGCGTGTCAGGGGCTTCAGGTCATAATGCAGGATGCTGGAGTTGACTGTCTTGGCTAAAGAAAAAAATACAGAAGTCAAACACCACAGCCAAGACTGACTGAAAACTGTTTTAGTAGCACCAAAATAAGATCATCGAAACCTAGACTTCCAAGCCCAGACCTCTCATATGCCAACCCCTCCATCCATGTCCTGTTCAAAAGTAGCTTATCAAGAT